ATGCCCTTCCAGGCCCACCCATGGCTGTGCCCCTGCCCAGTCATGTGAAATCCATAGTTTAGGGCCTAATGAATTTTTTTGAATTGACTGATTTCCATATATGAAATGTAACTGAATAAAATCATTGAAATTGTTGCATGTTGCGTTTATATTTTGGTTCAGTATATACAGTGGGGGAAAAAAGTATTTAGTCAGCCACCAATTGTGCAAGTTCTCCCACTTAAAAAGATGAGAGAGGCCTGTAATTTTAATCATAGGTACACGTCAACTATGACAGACAAAATGAGAAAAAAAATATCAAGAAAATCACATTGTAGGATTTGTAATGAATTTATTTGCAAATTATGGTGGAAAATAAGTATTTGGTCAATAACAAAAGTTTCTCAATACTTTGTTATATACCCTTTGTTGGCAATGACACAGGTCAAACATTTTCTGTAAGTCTTCACAAGGTTTTCACACACTGTTGCTGGTATTTTGGCTCATTCCTCCATGCAGATCTCCTCTAGAGCAGTGATGTTTTGGGGCTGTCGCTGGGCAACACAGACTTTCAACTCCCTCCAAAGATTTTCTATGGGGTTGAGATCTGGAGACTGGCTAGGCCACTCCAGGACCTTGAAATGCTTCTTACGAAGCCACTCCTTCGTTGTCCGTGCGGTGTGTTTGGGATCATTGTCATGCTGAAAGACCCAGCCACGTTTCATCTTCAATGCCCTTGCTGATGGAAGAAGGTTTTCACTCAAATCTCACGATACATGGCCCCATTCATTCTTTCCTTTACACGGATCAGTCGTCCTGGTCCCTTTGCAGAAAAACAGCCCCAAAGCATGATGTTTCCACCCCCATGCTTCACAGTAGGTATGGTGTTCTTTGGATGCAACTCAGCATTCTTTGTCCTCCAAACACGACGAGTTGAGTTTTTACCAAAAAGTTCTATTTTGGTTTCATCTGACCATATGACATTCTCCCAATCCTCTTCTGGATCATCCAAATGCACTCTAGCAAACTTCAGACGGGCCTGGACATGTACTGGCTTAAGCAGGGGGACACGTCTGGCACTGCAGGATTTGAGTCCCTGGCGGCGTAGTGTGTTACTGATGGTAGGCTTTGTTACTTTGGTCCCAGCTCTCTGCAGGTCATTCACTAGGTCCCCCCGTGTGGTTCTGGGATTTTTGCTCACCGTTCTTGTGATCATTTTGACCCCACGGGGTGAGATCTTGCGTGGATCCCCAGATCGAGGGAGATTATCAGTGGTCTTGTATGTCTTCCATTTCCTAATAATTGCTCCCACAGTTGATTTCTTCAAACCAAGCTGCTTACCTATTGCAGATTCAGTCTTCCCAGCCTGGTGCAGGTCTACAATTTTGTTTCTGGTGTCCTTTGACAGCTCTTTGGTCTTGGCCATAGTGGAGTTTGGAGTGTGACTGTTTGAGGTTGTGGACAGGTGTCTTTTATACTGATAACAAGTTCAAACAGGTGCCATTAATACAGGTAACGAGTGGAGGACAGAGGAGCCTCTTAAAGAAGAAGTTACAGGTCTGTGAGAGCCAGAAATCTTGCTTGTTTGTAGGTGACCAAATACTTATTTTCCACCATCATTTGCAAATAAAATCATTAAAAATCCTACAATGTGATTTTCTGGAATTTTTTTCCTCAATTTGTCTGTCATAGTTGACGTGTACCTATGATGAAAATTACAGGCCTCTCTCATCTTTTTAAGTGGGAGAACATGCACAATTGGTGGCTGACTAAATACTTTTTTCCCCCACTGTATACAGTGAAGGAAAAAAGTATTTGATCCCCTGCTGATTTTGTACGTTTGCCCACTGACAAAGAAATGATCAGTCTATAATTTTAATGGTAGGTTTATTTGAACAGTGAGAGACAGAATAACAACAACAAAAATCCAGAAAAACACATGCCAAAAATGTTATAAAATGATTTGCATTTTAATGAGGGAAATAAGTATTTGACCCCCTCTCAATCAGAAAGATTTCTGGCTCCCAGGTGTCTTTTATACAGGTAACGAGCTGAGATTAGGAGCACACTCTTAAAGGGAGTGCTCCTAATGTCAGCTTGTTACCTGTATAAAAGACACCTGTCCACAGAAGCAATCAATCAATCAGATTCCAAACTCTCCACCATGGCCAAGACCAAAGAGCTCTCCAAGGATGTCAGGGACAAGATTGTAGACCTACACAAGGCTGGAATGGGCTACAAGACCATCACTCTCCTTCTTGGTCAAATAGCCCTTACACAGCCTGGAGGTGTGTTGGGTCATTGTCCTGTTGAAAAACAAATGATAGTCCCACTAAGCGCAAACTAGATGGGATGGCGTATCGCTGCAGAAGGCTGTGGTAGCCATGCTGGTTAAGTGTGCCTTGAATTCTAAATAAATCACAGACAGTGTCACCAGCAAAGCACCCTCACACCATCACACCTCCTCCTCCATGCTTCACGGTGGGAACCACACATGCAGAGATCATCCGTTAACCTACTCTGCGTCTCACAAATTTGGACTCATCAGACCAAAGGACAGATTTCCTCCGGTCTAATGTCCATTGCTCGTGTTTCTTGACCCAAGCAAGTCTCTTCTTATTATTGATGTCCTTTAGTAGTGGTTTCTTTGCAGCAATTTGACCATGAAGGCCTGATTCACGCAGTCTCCTCTGAACAGTTGATGTTGAGATATGTCTGTTACTTGAACTCTGTGAAGCATTTATTTGGGCTGCAATCTGAGGTGCAGTTAACTCTAATGAACTTATCCTCTGCAGCAGAGGTAACTCTGGGTCTTCCTTTCCTGTGGCGGTCCTCATGAGAGCCAGTTTCATCATAGCGCTTGATGGTTTTTACGACTGCACTTGAAGAAACGTTCAAAGTTCTTGAAATTTTCCGTATTGACTGACCTTCATGTCTTAAAGTAATGATGGACTGTCGTTTCTCTTTGCTTATTTGAGCTGTTCTTATCATAATATGGACTTGGTCTTTTACCAAATAGGGCTATCTTCTGTATACCACCACCTACCTTGGCTCAAATGCATTAAGAAGGAAATAAATCCCACAAATTAACTTTTAACAAGGCACACACTTTTTTAAAAAGTTTTTACATTTTAGTCATTTAGCAGACGCTCTTATCCACAACCCTGGCGTTGCAAGCGCCATGCTCTACCAACTGATCCACACAGGACTGTACCAGCAACGTACCAGCAACAGTCATTTTTCATACTTTGGTCATCCTACTTTTGTTTCTATCATCCAATTTGATGAAAAACATGATTTTGACTCTGTGGAACCCTTAACTGGCGTTGTTAAGTGGCATTAAATGATATTTTGCAACTTGAAAGTAGCATACCCTCTTTATATCCCCCTCTCTCTCACACACACACCCTTCAATCCTTGTTTTGATCCACAAGGAAGCATTGTGACAGACATGCAAAGGACACCAAGGGAGGTTGGTGGCACTTTAGTTAGGGAGGACGCGCTCGTGGTTAGTGGTCACGTGTTAATCATTAACTATTAAAAACCGGGTATTTTGGCTCCAGGATGCTGACAAAAATATTTTTTTACCTGTCAGCACGTAGTTGTCAATGGCTTTAGCGGAGCTGGAGGTACCCTTGCCCCCCAGCAGTCAAATCGAACGCTCTGCACTGTATTGATAACGACCTATAATAACCACCGAGTTGACGCGGGGAAGTGTCCATGTCGCTGAACTCAGCATGCATACACAGCAGAACATGATTTTCACATGAAACAATCAGACTATTATGCTATAATCTCATCACTTTCTAATAAAGATACTGAATCAAAATATTAGGCATGGGGTTCCTCCACACACATCAGTTAAAAGACATTGCCAGTATTGTTGACATCCAAGTAGAGTATTTTCAGAATGGTCTGCTCGTTGAAATGTAGGTTGCATATACCCTATACAATGCCATATGTGGACCAAGGCTTTACAGGTGGGATACACGCGTAATAAACATGAGTTTGATTGACTGTTTGACTTCCAATTGCAGCGCAGATTGTGGTTGCTGTGAATGCAACCGATTGGAAGAAATCCGTGGAGGGCGTGGAGCTGAGATTACAGATTCCCTCTAGCCCCCCAACACCGAAAACTCCAGCCTAACCGCCACCACCTACCCACCCCAAACCGAGGATGAAAGAAGGACCAAATATTGTATAGCGAGATAGGTGCAGATCATTGGATGGGCGTTCATAAAGACCAATAGTGAAGCCTGCATCAGCCCCGAGACGAAATCTATATTTGTAAATATTATGGGACAGCATCTACATAAACATATTGACGGATCATGATTTAATTAGCACCATAAAGCTTTCTATCTCGGACCATGGAATGTTCTTTGTCACGGACCTCAGACGCTTTTGCTGATATCATGGACAATTGAGGTGCTTCGTTGCATGATATAGTAATGTTTTAATGAGTGAGCTGTCGTTGGTGGGATTGTGCTGCAGAAGATCAAAGCGTAGGCTACTAGGTTTATGGATTCGGGCACTCACACAGGGAGGCCTGATGGAAGCTGCGACACATTTGGATATGACACAGTAAACTTCAAGTAAAGGATAGTCCTGAATGCGCGAATGAAATTGTGTCGATATATTGCAATAGTAGAACAATAATGGATGTTTTTTGTAATGTGGTACATAGCATAGTGACTAAGCTTAAGATGTAATGCGAAGCCTGCACGATTTTGATATCGGAGCTGACTATATATTTCGGCGCTTTACTGGAAACGGAAACATCTGGATCATCTTTGATCTTTGACTCAACATAACGGTGAGAGTAGTTAACCAAAGACTAGTTATCTCTCTTATGCTTCGGCTTGGGGGAATTCAATAACGCAGGCCTAATGCCTTCTCTTCCTTTTACTTAAACTGAGTAACGTTATTACGTTTTAATCTTAAAAAGAGGGCAAGTAGTGTGCGTTTGGGCTTTGCGCTCCTCAGGAATCCTGTGTGTTGTGTGATTGGCCAACATCAACATGCCAACCTCACGGTCTGGTGCCAGCTCTGTGGAATACTGGGTAGATGGCTCGCGCCGAGATGTCTCCATAGATGAGTTTTACACCATGGGCCCAGAACTGGGAAGGTAGAGTACTGTAGTGTGTACCTTTATTGACACCAATGCGTAAATACCAACAGCATCATCACCTTCATAACTATCAAAAGGGGTTGTTTATGGTCATGTACTGTAGAAAAACAAATCAGTGGAATTTCATCCAATGGGATGTAGTTTTTCATCACAGTATGGCTATAGCTAAAGTGTTCATTTTGAATTACGATGTTTACAATTATAGTATGTATCTACTGTGTCTATCAAATGGATTAGGTTTGATACTCTGACAAGACAGACAGAACACATATTTTAGACCAGTTCTGTCAAATTAATCAATTTCATGCATAGTTCAGCACCACAGACAGCTCCTCCTGTCCATGTACAATGATTTACATTTTAGTCATTTAGCAGACGCCCTTATCCAGAGCGACTTACAGTTAGTGAGTGCATAAATTTTTTTTTGAACGATTAACAAGTGACAATTTCTCTCCTATCATCTCACCTCATAAGAAGCCTACTAATATTATGCCAAGACGCAATCAACGTGTCAAAACATGATCTTCACTCAGTCAGAGTAAACAGCCCACTGTGTTTGCTATAGAAATGGGCTCTCATTGTAAAGGGGGCAGCACATGGCTTAGCACTGGACAACAGTGAAACGTTAAGGGATTAGTGCAAGTATGGAGAAAACAGGTGTTACGGACCATTTTCAGAGGCTTTATATGGAATTTCCCACTACCTCTGACCCCTCCACTCCACTCCCCTCCCCTCCCCGCCATCATCATGATTCTGGCTTAAGTACACTCTTACATCACATCCAGATTGACAATGTCAACTTGTCAATATTTGTCACTTGGAGTGGGTGTCAGTGGACTGTTGAAGTTTGGGGGTCTGACTGACAGATGGAGTGGCCATTGCATTTGATGAGGACATCTGCCAGCAGGCATAAACAACGGTATCCCACCATGTCAAAGACACAGGTGGTCTTGACTCAAAAAAACGGCACACTGTAATTGCTAATTCACACTATAGGGAAAAAACAGTCCAAGCCAAGCAGAGTTGTACTGGGCTGGCATGGTTACACATCCACCGTAGTTGCTGGAACCGTGCTGGAAAGGACAATGTGAAAGAGAGAATATCTGAAACAGCACAGTGCAGTTAGGGTTGGCCATATAATGTGAATCAAGTGTAATATTTCCATTGGACATAGTGTGGAACAGGTGAATGCCTCAGAATGCAGCTCCAATGCACCTGTGCCTTTATATTAAACCTCATTTCACACCACACTTAACTGTATTAACAGTTCTCTTCTCCTCACCTGCAACTGCATGTGTAACGGACAGGCACCCATTTTGTCACTTCAGAATTCTGTGTGAGACTGAAAGGAGAGATCTCACTGTCAGTGGTATAACAAACCGTATACCAAGCTTTCAAAAAGCTGGCCATACGTCCCTTTATAGGACTCAAATACATAACACTAGATCCAAATCAAATGATATGGTCATTACTTAAAGTAGGCCACTGTTTGCTAGAATTAGCAGTAACAATTTAACACCAACAGCGCATATTGACTCAGATACGGACGTTTACTGAATTAATCATCATCTGTGATCGACATTTGATGATCTATCTACAGTCGGTAGATCAATCGTAAACAATAGGCCAGTTCAGCCACTAGTACCTGCTTCTTGCACGTAAACATACACAACCTACACTCAGCTTCCCCCAGCCTCCACATATAAGGGTGTGCACAGTCGTTAGGGGTCTACTTTTCGAGGAGAGTTGCCCTGGTTGCCAAGGAGACCCTACAGCTATGAGAGTGGTGTTGAGAGGGCTGGGGGATGATGATGCCTGGATTGTATTAGCAGGAGCAGGACTGCTGGAGAAACAGGGACTAATTTCCTAAGCAGGGCAAACGCTGAGTGCCCTCCATAGGGATACAACTGAGGGGAAGTCCCAGATTAGATGGCGGCTGGCTGCTGCCAGTACTCCCTCATTATTCCACTGTGTGGTTTTACTCTGACCTCCCTCTTAATAACGACCTAGTTCAGTTTTACACAATCGACTTCCGATTCTAATTAACCAAAATACCAGTTGTGGTGATGCTATTGAATAGTAATGATTGTACACATGTACATATTGATAGTTCACTTGAAGATGGTATACCGGTATTGAAGGGATTAGTAAATCCAGAGCAATACTATTGCTACAAAGGCCTCTATTTCTTCAACGGCTCAATTGAATTTGAGCACACATTGATTAAAAAAGACATCTTTGACTGTTGAGCTATACCAACTACAGATGTGAAACAGTGGGACTCTTCTGATACACGTATATCACATAGATAGAGCACCAAAACACATAACCATCTGTATGTGGGAGGTCATATAGACTGTTCAAGAGAAGTAACATACATGTGGTGCTCCAGTTCTCCTAGGCAACCCACAGCTAAGCTGCTGCTGTGTCTGGTGCTGCTACTGCTTTCACTAGTTCAAAATAATAAAGATATACATTCGGCCAGGGCATTATCTCTAGATTTCCAAGTAGATTTAAAAGCAACAGACAACACGACACAGCCCAATCACGTATTAACAGATGACTCATGGTTTCAGCTCATACTTAGTGCTACCCTCTGCCCTCTCATGTAATCGTGTCATGGCTTTGAATAGCTTTCTTTTCCTGCATGTTTTCCTCTACAATGGGTTTTATTTATCAATCTTAGCAATAAGCATGTAGATGGATACTGTATCTAATGGTTCACCATGGAGTTGTTATTGAAATGCTTTAGATGGAGGTCAGCTTATGAAATGTTTATAAATGTTATGTTGATGAGCAAATTACATTATAGTTGAGTAGAACTTGAGATAAAATGCTGAATCATTGCACTATGGAGAGACAACCATATGATCATAGTCGTTGATGTTGACTGATTGATCTTCTTCCCAGGGGGGCCACGTCAGTGGTGTTTCGCACTGAGGAGAAGCAGACACAGAAGCCCTATGCTGCAAAGGTCCTCAAGAAGACTGTGAGTCCTTCGGCCATTTTATATATACAGTATATTGACAGTGACAGTATCATATTGGTGCTCTCATTCTTTCCATTTCAGATCGACAAGAAAATAGTGCGGACTGAAATTGGTGTTCTGCTGCGACTTTCCCACCCGAATATTGTAAGAGTTCACTTTATTTTATCCAAGACACCACTTCAAACATCAACATTTTTACTTTTCTCAGACCATGATGGACATGAACAATAGTGGTGACTTGTTGTAGGATACTAGCAACTTCAATGTTTTTGATATGTTGTATTATAAAAACAAAAGAAGAAGATGTTTCTAAGAACGTGATTGAAATGAACATTAATGATGACTTCTTTGAAGATATTAGTAACATCCATGTTTTTTATGATGTTTTTGTCAACATTTTGGAGCGTTCTCAATATCATCTTCCCCTCTACCTGTGGTTTTGTACCTCAGATCCGCCTGAAGGAGATCTTTGAGACAGAGACAGACATCGCCCTCATCTTGGAGCTGGTAACCGGAGGGGAACTCTTTGACAGGTGCTTACGCCCAAAATATACCACCCTCACGACCCTGTCTCAAACCATATCCCTGCTGAAATTGGTTTCCCTTCGGCAGGGCCAGAGGTGGAATCAGTGGCCTCACTCAGTCCCCCTGTTCCATTTGCCTGCTTTGTCATTAGCAGCAATTTATGACACAGGCGTTATTGAGATGCAGAGCATAAAAGGAATAGAAAATTAAATTTGTAATGGCCCTCACCAGCACTGTTGCCAGGAAACCGATTAGAAGACTGTGGTTGGAGCAAATGCCCCACCCTATCTGTAAAACCCATCATGAAGATTACTCAATATGAGTCACCTGTTTCTCTATTGTTTAATTGGTATAATATAATAATAATAATGGTATAATAGCCAAATTAAATTGTCTGTTAATCACGTTATCCTCCTATCACCTTATAGGTTTAGGAATGTTTGACAGTAACAACTACCTATTATAAGGGCTGTGACGATACCAGTATCACAATATTTCTTCCATGGCAAAAATGAAAACACAAAGAACACCTAACTATTTGGTCCTTTAAAAACCTGCTGTTTGTAAAATACTGTGTGCTATAGCTTGGAAAATAAATAAATGTGACTCTGGATGACAACATAATGATGTTTGTTCCCAACATTAGGGCTGTTGTCCTAAATAAGTTAAACCCGCTTCGTGTTTTGTTTCTTTGCCACGATACTAACGAGTATCGCGATACTGGTATCGTCCCGGCCCTATTATTTTCCCTCACGTTTCTGACTTTAACAGAGTTAAGGAGGGACCACTCTCTTCCAAAGTGGGTATTTGAACTCTGTGTAACGTTTTGACTGTGTTTGACCTTTGGTCTCTTTCTGCCCTTTCAGGATCGTGGAGAGAGGGTACTACAGTGAGAGAGATGCTGCCCATGTCATCAAGCAGATTCTGGAGGCAGTGGCAGTAAGAGATGTGATTTAATTGCCACTGATGGGCTATTGAGTAGGAATGTGCCTTATTTCACCAAATGCTTTGGAATTTGCAATGAATTCTGAGATGCACAGCACCCCTCTATGCAGAGAAGAGAGAGTAGAGATACTGTTGCGGCTATGTGTTTTGTCTTTCACTATGGTTGCATCATCTACAGTAGCTTCAATAGAAAACAGGTCAACATGGAGCTGAGAGACTTTTCAGTGTTGTCATTTTGACAAAGCTTGAGCTTCAGTTGAGACAGGTCTCTTATCCATACTTTGAATAGGAAAATACACATACTTTTAGGCTTAAAGTTCAATTTGTTTCAGGTTTGGTCTTATCTGTGGCCTTCTGTGTCCAGTCACTGCACATACTTCTAATGTCATAATCACATTTTAGCTTGAATCAGATTTCGTATTTCCAGTGAGCTACTATGTGCAGTTAGTCACTGCGCTCTATTGCAGGCAGTGCTGAGCCCTGTTTCAGGCAGAATTATATCTGAACCCAAAAATAGAGGATGATTATTTAGCCAGTGGAAAATACCACTAAACAATGTTTTGGGGTTTAGGACTTGGCAATGGCACCAATGAATGTCAACCAGAAGATTAGTGTGAGAGCCTTTATTTAGAAATACAAATGTATTGTAATCCCAGAATACAAGCAGCTAAGGGCTTGGCTGGACACACACACAATGTGGTAGATGTGGGTCAGATGTGGCATCGGTCTCAGCTGGAGGAATGATGGATGTGCGTGTGAGCGTACATGTGTTTGAGTGACTACGTGTGTGTGTGTGTGTGTGTATCTGTGCGTATGTGTGCTTGGTGAGCTGCAAGTGTGAAATAATCCTCTCAGAAAGCCATAGCAATTTTTTCCCCGTGCCCTTAATCTTCTGACCAAGAGAGGCAGCAGGCAGCAGGGATGTGGGCTGCCTGTTATGTAACAGTGCTAGCGAGTGCGTGCCTGTGTGACAATGAACCAAGCCGCTGCTGTGCGGCCCATATGCCCACTGCTTTTGTTTTCTAAATAAGGATGTGACAAATGAAAAAACAACAACATTTAAAAAGCTATTTTTGTTATCGGTTTTTCGTTATAATTTTATTAATTTGTCTTATATTTCTATGTGAATTCACAATGCTAAATATGGTCCTATTGCATCCTATTGCGTATGACCGCTAGGGGGCAATGAAGTTCGATCTACTAGACAACAGCGCTCACCTTATAGATACACACGGCGAGGCGTGGCTTAATATGACCATGCCCCCGAGTAGGGTACAGCTGTAGGGTACTCCCGTTACTCCCGTTACTCCCATGTAATTAGCCTAACGTTGGCGTCATCCTAAAATAATGAGTGACACTTTTTGGTCGTTTCAATAAACGTTTTCAGCAGCCTCACGTGTCGTTATTAACATACTTGGCTGTCACAACAACAAATGATTTGCATGATACTTATTCTGCCACTCTAATGTTTTACCCAACCTGCTAACACTGACAGTAAACGTCACTGTTTGTTTACCCCTAGCTTTTTCGCCGGTTAGCTGACGTTAGCTGGCTGGCTAGCGAGAGAAGTACATCTCGATCTAATTCGCTAGTCTTAGATATGTCGCGTAACTACTTCAAGTCTTTGCCTGCCCTTGAACGGTCTAGGTATTTAGAAAAGTTTAATCTTGTTGGCTTGCCTATACAAGTATTTAGACCCCTTACTTTTTCCACATTTTGTTACATTACAGCCTTCTAAAAAAAAAAATGTTTTTTTAAATGCCTCATCAATCTACACACAATACCCCATAATGACAAAGTGAAAACAGGTTTTTAGAAATGTTTGCAAATGTATCAAAAATAAAAAACTGAAATACCTTATTTACATAAGTATTCAGACCCTTTGCTATGAGACTCGAAATTGAGCTCAGGTGCATCCTGTTTCCATTGATCATCCTTGAGATGTTTCTACAACTTGATTGGAGTCCACCTGTGGTAAATTCAATTGATTGGACATGATTTGGAAAGGCACACACCTGTCTATATAAGGTCCCACAGTTGACAGTAAATGTCAGAGCAAAAATGAAGCCATGAGGTCGAAGGAATTGTCCGTAGAGCTCTGAGACAGGATTGTGTCGAGGCACAGATCTGGGGAAGGGTACCAAAAAATGTCTGCAGCATTGAAGGTCCCCAAGAACACAGTGCCCTCCATCATTCTTAAATGGAAGAAGTTTGGAACCACCAAGACTCTTCCTAGAGCTGGCCGCCTGGCCAAACTGAGCAATCAGGGGAGAAGGGCCTTGGTTAGGGAGGTGACCAAGAAGCCGATGGTCACTTTGATAGAGCTCCAGAGTTCCTCTGTAGAGATGGGAGAACCTTCCAGAAGGACAACCATCTCTGTAGCACTCCACCAATCAGGCCTTTATGGTAGAGTGGCCAGACGGAAGCCACTCCTCAGTAAAAGGCACATGAAAGCCCGCTTGGAGTTTGCCAAAAGGTACCTAAAGACTCTCAGACCATGAGAAACAAGATTCTCTGGTCTGATGAAACCAAGATTGAACTCTTTGGCCTGAATGCCAAGCGTTACATCTGGAGGAAACCTGGCACATCCCTACGGTGAATCATGGTGGTGGCAGCATCATGCTGTGGGGATGTTTTTCAGCAGCAGGGACTGGGAGACTAGTCAGGATCGAGGGAAAGATGAACAGAGCAAAATACAGAGAGGTTCTTGATGAAAACCTGCTCCAGAGCGCTCAGGACCTCAGACTGGGGTGAAGGTTCCCCTTCCAACAGGACAACGACCCTAAGCACACAGCCAAGACAACGCAGGAGTTCCTCCGGGACAAGTCTCAGAATGTCCTTGAGTGGCCCAGCCAGATCCCGGACTTGAACCCGATCTAACATCTCTGGAGAGACCTGAAAATAGCTGTGCAGCGACGCTCCCCATCCAACCTGACAGAGCTTGAGAGGATCTGCAGAGAAGAATGGGAGAAACTCTCCAAATACAGGTGTGCCAAGCTTGTAGAGTCATACCCAAGAAGAGTCGAGGCTGTAATCGCTGCCAAAGGTGCTTCAACAAAGTACTGAGTAAAGGGTCTGAATACTTATGTAAATGTCATATTTCCGTTTTTATTTTTAATACATTTGCACAAAAAAAATCTTTTTTTGCTTTGTAATTATGGGGTATTGTGTGTAGATTGATGAGAGGAAAAAACAATTTAATCAATTTTAGAATAAGGCTTTAACGTATCAAAATTTGGAAAAAGTCAAGGGATCTGAATACTTTCCGAATGCACTGTAAGTCATGATATTAGGAAAAGTGTTTATTTCCAGCAAGTGTATTTGATGGGTTTCATTTCTGTAGCTCTTGGCTAGCTGAGACCGAAGAGATTAGATAATTTATTTTGGACTGAAGCACGTCTTCTGACAGTGTCACAGTGCCCCTGTGTGGACTGAAGCTGAACTTTACGACAACATTATATTTAACCCTGTTTAAAGTTAGTAATGTTGAGGTGGTAGAACTGACCAAATTAAAAGAATCACACAAGTCGGATAACCTATTCCATTCTACAGGTAAACATGCTTAGCTTATGTCTGCTTTTTCCATGTAGGCTATGTAACTATTTGTAAAAAAATATTTCATTGAGCTTTTATTTTTATTCCTCTTTTTATTCACTTAGCTACTTACTTTTTCTGTTGTTGTTGAATTGTCGAGAGGTGAACCTGCAAGTAAGCATTTCATTTACTCCATGAATATCATGTGTATATAACAAAAAAACAAACTTTAACTTAGAAGGGAAGGGGAAGGGCAGCAATAAAGAGAGAGGAAAAGATGGCCAGCTGTGTGGTTAGACTGTAGGTGAACAAAACATTGAAAAATACATAGGCCCTTAAGTTGTGTCATCAAATGTTATGTAATCTAAACAGCTCACATTAGCTGGTAGAACTGACCAAGTGAAATGAATCATAGAGGTCTTATAACTTATTAAATTGTACAGGTACATTTGTTGTGCTCATGTCTCTTTATATTCATATAGCCTAGGGGCTATGTAGCTTTTTATCTGTCATGTTTGGAGTTGTGTTGCACTGTTATGCAGACACTTGAATTTTTCTTTACAGATGAGTTTCCCTGGTCGTGTCAGTATAAAGTGACTGAAAAACCTAAAACCAACTATAAATTGTAGAAATTCATATACAAATATTGAAAGCATTTAATGAAAACTAAAAGGCGTGCAACATGAAAATATTGTCTAATTTACATTGTGTCATTTATTGACGGCCCCTAACTAGCCCCAGAGATAGGCTATCCAAAGTCAAAGTGATTTTTTTTTGCTAACTCTTCCCACCTGCGAACACACACACACACACACACACACACACACACACAATCAAATCACAACCCCGAAACCAACTCACGTTTAAATTCAGTCATGGCAGCTAGCCTTTCTTAATGAACCAAATCTGAAACGAGGCCAAATCAGGAAGTGCATTCGCCCTTTACAACGAACTAATGACATGTTGCACCCCTACCTTGCTAGCTTTCAGATGAGCAAAGGAGGAGGACAGATGAGAACAGCAGGTCACTGGATCACTTAGAACAGCAGCAGCCAGGGGCAAATGGTAGGGAAGAGGATGATTTAGGTGACCCAAACACAGGCCCAAAACAAGTTAAGCTACCCCAGGATCCCCTTGACTAGAGGCACTCCAGACACGACACAGAAACAGCAAAAGAAGAGTAGACAATGGAGAGAGACACCAGACAAGACACATAGACAGCAACAGAAGAGCAGGATATGATGGAGAGAGACACCAGAAGAACAGAACAGGCCATAACAGGAGAGGATAGACAAAAGAGACAGTAACGAACAAGAACCTGAGACAGCAACAGACAAGACACAGAGAAAGTGACAGAAGAGGGCAGATGGAAAGAGAACAGAGGTGGGTTGAGCACACAGAAGACTGTCACACTTCAGGCTTCTCTATAGGTTGTAATTCGTATTTATTTGCACAAAATATAAGAGTTGAAATACAAACAGTGAAAAAGTAAAACATGGTTTACAAATAATTTGCAGGTGAGGTGAAAAAGCCTGTAAAACAATTGTTTACTTTTACCCCCATGCTGGCTTTGGGCTAAGCCCAAATGTCTTCAAGTCCTAGAAACGCCCCTGGTTCTATCTGCAAAATGTATGGTTTTGAGATAATGAGTATTTTTCAAGTCCCAGATCTCAGAACTGATTTGTGATGTCTTCCTCTTTCATGACTCAAAAAGTGCATCACCTTACATAAAATTATTTTTTATTGACAACCCAGCATTTCTATTGACAACCCAGCATTTTTATTGACAACCCAGCATTGTGTGATTGGATTGCAGATAGAACCTTATAGCACCACGTTCAAAAGGTGTTTGCACATTTTTTTCATCATAAATCGACTTTTTCACAAATCTGACATATCTCACATGTGAAGGACCTCCCATAGAACAACTCTCTATGAATAACATAGTTATTTGCTTAGGGATTTTTCCTTAACATTAACAATCCCAATTAAACGTTCACACCCCTTCTAAAGCATGCTTAGCACTGGTGGCTGTGTGGTGGGATACATTTAATCCATGTGTGCTTGCTCCAGGTTTTTAATCTGGAGTGAGTGAGTGTCTGTGCACCATCTATTTATGAGTGTGTGTGTGTGTGTGTGTGTGTGTGTGTGTGTGTGTGTGTGTGTATGACAGAGATAAGGGGAAATGCAGAGTTTGGAGTTTTGTTTATGTGTGGGTGAACGAACAACACCACTCATACCGTCTTCCTGTTTTTTTTTTTTGCTTCAGTGCTCCGTCTCATAGTTCATCACCTCAGAGCTACTTTTACTATCAGAATGTTTACATTTATGATTGCTGAGTGTATATGCACTGCATGCATACATCATACCTGCCACGCAAGACAATCTTATGATAAAGCTGCTCTCTTGCACAGAACCAATACAGTTTATTGCTTCATATTGTGTAATGACATGATTTCTCTATTTGGCATTTAGCCTCCGTGCATAGGGCATTTTGTAGGGTTATAGAGCAGAGACAATAGGTTGTGAGTCATAAACACCTATGCAGGATCATTTTTTATGACAACAAGCAGAGATAGGAGGTATTTAAAAAGTGCTGGGCCTCTATAAATCAATTTTGATTTCATACTTTTCTGTAGATGAAATAGGCCAATTTAATCAATACTTCATGAAACCATGCAGGCATAAGCGACATAAGTGGGAACTTAGTCGGGGTCTCAACTTACTGTTGATAGTTATAATAGTAGAATACAAGTAGAAGGTGCAAGTTAGAATTTTGGTTGTGAGTCAGCAATTTTTCTCTAGTTATGTCAGTCACTGACAGTCACTCAATTAGCCATGTCAGCTAACAATTTTTAGATTGGTAAATTAGTCTAGCCAGCTATCTTAACCTGTAGTAATCATGGCCGAATACCGACCGGTCACACATGGCATGTGCCCAGGACCCCTGACCTCCAGGGGGCCCCCATTGATTTTGTTAGTCACTCTCACACAGATATCATGGCATCAGTCATGTCAAAATGTATAGAATTGCAGGAAATTTGCTTTAAAACTGAGAAATGTATTTCCACCATGACAGAATTGGAAGAATTGCAGGAAATTAGCTGTAACACAGTTTTATTTATTTATTTTTATCTCTGCCCCATGGCAAAATGTGTAGAATGGCAGGACATTCACTTTAAAAACGTACATTTTTCTATCCGCCGTCAAGGGGGGGGGGGGGGGGGGGTCCACTAAAATGTTTTCCTGTGCGGTGGGGGACTAGAGCCAGCCCTGACTGACTATGGCATTTTCCCCTCATATCTTTCAAAATTAGCCTAGAAATGTCTCAACATCATTTATCCTTGAGTCTGTGTGAAACTAATCATTATAGAGAGGTGAAAACTCCCCCTCATCTTTCTGTGCATGCTGTATCTAGCAGACTGCTCCAATTCTGTTTTTTTGTCATCTGTCCAAAGCCCCGGCACACAAACTTAGTATAACCATCTTGACACCGCCATGACTCATGCGTTCACTTTGGGCCCTCCCCAGCCATCCCAGCCCGGCTAGCGCAGAGTCTCAAATGTACAACCTTTTTCCCAGGCAGACAGAGAGCCAGATCATCTCAGGAGAGATGGGTTCAAAAGGTTACGCGTGGAGGCCCATCAATAGCCAGCCTGGCAGGGGAGAGAAGAGTTTTCCATTAGAACTAATAGCAGTCAGGCTGAGCACTTAGTGCCCATGCTAACTAGCTAATGGCTGACCTGGGGCTTAACCACAGGCTTTCTCGGAGACGTCGGTGGTTAATTTGCCGGAATGATTCTGGGCGTTCGCAGCCTGGAAGGGAAGTGTGCGGTAATGACAAGAGAGCGTGGTGCTGCGTGGGTGTTGTTAGCCACCCCGGTAGGCCTCAGCGGGGACTCGCCGTGGAAACCGGGCAAAAATGTTGACTAGGTCATTATAGGTCTCCTCCCAGGGCCTCTGTGTGTGGCTGACGAGACCCAGTGGTATAGGTTACTAGAGAGGTCATGTCCTTATTACAATCATGTTGAGGCCAGTGGTGGAAAAAGTACCTTGAGTAAAAGTAAAGATACCTTAATAGAAAATGACTCAAGTAAAAGTGAAAGTCACCCAGTGAAATACTACTTGAGTAAAAGTCTAAAAGTCTTTGGTTTTAAATATACGTAAGTATCAAAAGTAAATGTAATTGCTAAAATATACTTCAAAATTAAAAGTAAAAGTATAAATCATTTTAAATTCCCTATATTAAGCAAACCAGACGGCAATATATATATATATATATATATATATATATATATATATATATTCATAGATAGCCAGGGGCATACTCCAACACTCAGACATCATTTAGAAACGAAGCATGTGTGTTTAGTCTGCCAGATTAGAGGCAGTAGGGATGACCAGGGATATTCTCTTGATAAGTGCGTGAATGGAATATTTTCCTGTCCTGCTAAGCATTCAAAATGTGACGAGTACTTTTCGGTGTCAGGGAAAATGTATGGAGTAAAAAGTACATTATTTTCTTTAGGAATGTAGTGAAGTAAAAGTAAAAGTTGTCAAAAATATAAATAGTAAAGTAAAGTACAGATACCCCAAAAACTACTAAGTAGTACTTTACAGTTTGTGCTGTCCATCTTCTATTTACACACAAGTGTTCAGAGACGCAGATCGCTAATTAGCACAGGGATGCCGCTGTCGTGGGGGTTCAACATAAGGAACAAAAGACTAAATCAATCATTAACAAAATAATAGTCCTGTCAGGGTCAACACTCCAGAGAGCAAAATCGAAATAACTGAAAACCTTAGTCCTACCGGAATTGCAAGTCCAAGGAAATGTGTAATCCAATGGAAAACCCTCAATAAATAAATAAAATATATAATTCAAGTCAATACATTAATAATCCAACAGAAATACTAAAGGTTCAATGGAAACAGGTGGCTCTATGAACCTGGGATAAAACAATGCTAGGCAAAAGCGGTGAGGGAGGAGCGTCCTTCTCAAATCAAACAGCAATCTGCGCCGCTTGGTCATGTTGTCAACAAGGCAGCATGATGCATCGTTCAGAAACATACAACATCTCTTCTCCATAAAAATACTGTATGTTCGAATTTTCAAACTCGTTTTTATTGGGAAGGTAGATAAAACCTTTTTTTAATCAAAAGCAATTACTTTTGCATGTGAAATCACAGAATCCTACTCATTACTCCACGTGCTTAACCTACGTCACTATTGTTTTGAGCCCACTTCGCCGTCGGCTAAAACGGGGCATCTGGCTCACACCCGGGAGGCAGCCCAGTTCCAAAATGAATATAATCAGGCCTGGGGCATTAATAATCAAATCCCCTCAATGGGACCGCAGCCTAATTCAAGATGGCACCTGTGACACACCTCCAACCACACCCATACCTGCAGCCTTAAAGAGCGACTGCCTTTAAAAAGCGACAAATCCCTTTGAAAACGGCAAATCCCTTTGAAATTTGCCCACTAACATGGGGTAATCAAGCTGCGGTGATTGCTCTCTATCCAATAGCATAGACAGTGAGACAGATCTTCCCGGCAGCTCTGACTGTTTACATAAGACAACATGTCGCAATTTCTTTTATTTGAGAAATACTGCACCAAAAACCTTAGTTAGATGTAAAATTGCGCAACTAAAACATCCTCGGCCAAAATTAATTACAGATTTCTTGTTATCTTAGATTCATTCTGGATATTTTAAGGAAGTGAAATAGGTCGTTTTCTACCGGAGAAGTTGTCCTTCAGTTGCTCTTGAACACATTATTTTCATAGTTCCACCATTTAAGAGCAATGTTTCCTTTTATTTTCACTTTCTGCTTTCATGGTAACGTTACAACATGGCAACTGATCCGGTAGTCAGAGTCGGAACTCTCTTGACTCTTGAGTAATAGGAGGATGGTAAGAGCAGTCATAGAGCCTCTGAGCTGCTGCAGCAATGGGCCCCATCTGTTGAGTCTATTTTAGATCAGGGGCTGCTCATTTACAGCTTCAATTAATCCTGCCAAGTGAAGCCCTGATTGGGCTGAATCCCTCAGGTCTCACAATGATAAAAATGGTATCCATGACTTCATCTGACTCTGGGGAAGTATTGTATATAAAGGGCTTCATTGCCAAAATCCTGAATGTTCTCTTTAAGCTACTCTGCTGCCTCTGTTTGACATTCTCTCTGTTCTTCAAGTGTCAATGCCTGTACAGATCTGTCCTCTAGTCCACACAGATGTGATCATTGACTTTAACATAAACTGATTTGTTCTCTTTTTTTTCTACTCAACTACCTCTAACTGCGTATCTAAAGGTGACAGAACTCACTTCCAGTTACATGTGGCAGCTTCTGGGTTGGGGTGCCCTTGATTACTAGGGCTATAACAATACATAGGCAGGCATTGTATTATTTATTTACTGACCTTTATTTTACCAGGTAAGATAACTGAGAACATATTATATTTTACAGCAACGACCTGGGGAAGAGTTACAGGGGGGAGGAGAGGGGATGAATTAGGTGGCCATGATTGAATGAAGGCCAGAAGCTGGGCATGATTAGGTGGCCATGATGGTATGAAGGCCAGATTGGGAATTTAGCCAGGACATCGGGGTTAACATACCTACGCTTACGATAAGTGCCATGGGATCTTTAGTGACCACAGAGAGTCAGGATACCAGTTTTAACGTTCCATCCGAAAGACGGAACCATATGCAGGTCAATGTCCCCTTCACTGCCCTGGGATCTCCTTAGACCACAGGGAACCTCCAACACCACTTGCAGCAGCATCTGGTCTCCCATCCAGGTACTGACCAGGACTTAGCCTGCTTAGCTTCAGAGGCAAGCCAGCAGTGGGATGCAGTGTGGTATGTTGCTGGGTAGGGCTATAGCAATACATTTATAACATCTACGGTAAGGCTATCCAATCGTTTTTGTAAAGGACTGGTGTGGGGGCAGGCTTTGGCTCCAACCAAAACATTGTGACTCATTCAGAGATAAATCATGTTGTATCCTTGAGTATCGATCCAGTATTGAATCATAGTTCTGTCAGATGATTAATATTGATTTTCAATCACTCCAGGCTTGGCTCGGTTAATCAATGTCCCTGAGCTCTGCTGGCCTGTACTGTGGGGGAGGGTCAGAGAAGGTGACCGCTTAGGATCTCACATATTGTAATACATGACCAAAAAGGTTGGAAGGACCCTATTTTGAAATACCAAAAAATGAAAACTAAATGCTAATGGGAAAAGAGACAATTTATATTAATTGTTGTTGTGGCATTTCAAAACGTTATTCCAAACTTATTTTGAAACAAGTGCCACACCGACTTGTGGATTTGAACTGATCAGGGCCCGGTTTCCCGATAGCGATGGAACCTAGGCTTACAAGTGTTTTAACAATGCATCTTTCCTACAATGGCCGAAGATGTAACATGCGTTTCCCAAAACACCACGCAGAGAGAACAGTCGCTAAGTTGCGTTGTTGGAGCATGTGTCTATATTGATAGGATCGAAAGAAAGGGAGCGCTGCTCTCGGATCAGCTTTCTCCATTCAAATCTTACCTTAACATTATAATTATTTCACAATACTGACGAAGGATCAGCTCCTAGAGAGATAGTACCACCTACTTCTGCAAATATTGAGGCGGCTTATTCTAATGCTTACCCAATAAAAATGCACTAAACGATGAACTTAGACATGTTCGACATTCACAGAATGTTCCCCAATGCATCACATTTATGTTTCAAATGTCAACAAGATACTGGCACCTTTATGCACGTATTTCGGGACTGTAACAGAATCCAGTCTCATTGGAATGAGGTTCATTTACACATTCAGAAGATCTTAGATAAACAATTTGCTCTTTCACCGAACCTATACCTACTTTATTTTGACTGTAACATTGTATTTGACCCTGAATCTGAACGTCTGTTTAATACTCTTGTCTATTTAGCCCCAAAATCTATTTTGTTGTTGTGTTCCACACCTCAAATACCGTCTGCGAGGATGTGGCTTTCTCAGCCTTCTGCTATTCTACCCCTAGAAAAACTAACTTTTGACCTGCACCAGAGGACTGAAAAGTTCTGGAAAATATGGTCACCATTATGTAGAAAGCCTCCCATAAATGCCCCATATAAATGATACTGCTGTCTTTTTATTTTATGATTGTACATTTTTTGTAATGTTTTTTACTGTATTTTTACTTAACTCCATGTCTGTGTGGTGCACTTTTTTTGTTGTCTGTGTAAACCCTGATCAAAGAAAAAAAGGAAATTCAAATAAAGAACTTAGCCTTAAGATGGTTCTGGGAAACCGGGCGCAGTTCTTGTTTGAAAACAGTACAGGGCCCGGTTTCCCAAAAGTATCTTAAAGGTTAAGTTCATTGTTAGAACCTTCGTAGGATCATTGTTAAATCTTAGAGCCGTTTCCCAAAACCATCGTTATTAACGTTGCACTTGAAAACGCACGTAATCAAACACCTGCCTCAGACCACTTATAGAACAGCTAAGTGCGTCGTTAGATGCTGCTTTTGTATGCCCTCCCACGTAACTTCATACTCAGAAGATCTCAGCTAAACGTAAAATCACATGGTTTATCAATCTTTCTGTGACCACTGATAACTTCAGAACAAAATTGACTACATTTAGAATGTTGCCAATGTCTTTGCAATTGATACAAACAAGCGACATATAAAAATGAAAACCGAGATAACTGCAAATATAAACAGTAGGCAATAGGCCTATTTCAATCATATTGAAATACATTTCATGTTCAATCAATTGAGTTCTATTTTGCTACTTGTAGGCTACTGTCTGTAATTTGTCTCAATACATTTCATGATGTGTATAGCCTAACATGTGCACAATGATGTGCCAAATCAGTGATTTAGTGCATTGAACCAGTATCTGTGGTTTTTATGAAGATGGCGCTGCAGTGGATAGCTGCCGTCTTACTGGCTCCTGACCAATTCTGCTATTTTGTGTGTTTTTTTACGCAGCTCTTAGCTTGTACATAATATTTCCGCCATAATTTTCTATGACAGAAAAGAGCTTCTGGACATCAGAACAGCGATCACTAACCTCGATTTCTACTAAAACGAGTCGGCAGCTCGGGACATACTGCTCATTCCGGACCAGGCCCTAATCCCTGATTAGAAAAACTCTGGTCACATCATAGCCCATGTTAAACAGAGTAATCACGTCATACCGTATAAGGTCAAGAGTTTTACCAGGTTAGGTTACCCGATCAGGAAAAACTACGGGCCCCAGAATAGTTTTTTCCCCCGCTAAGCCACTGGGATCTGTGGTGCCACCTCTGGGTGAATGGGAGTTTGAATCTGAGTTTTCTGGTCTCTAATGTACAGATACTGGTTCAGGAAATAATAAGTTGCCTCAATATTTGCAGCCGTAGGTGGTAATATCTCTCTAGGAGCTGATCCGTCATCAGTATTGTGAAATAATTAGAATGTTAAGGAAAGATTTGAATGGAGAAAGCTGATCAGTGCGCAGCACCCCCTATCTTTAGATCCTATCAGTATCGACACATGCTCCAGCGACGCACTTCATTTTACATTTTGGTCATTTAACAAACGCTCTTATTCAGGTCGACTTACAGTCAGTGGATTCAACTAATGTTGCAACTGTTTTGTTCTTTTGTGTTTGTGTCACAGTATTTACATGAGAATGGGGTGGTGCATCGTGACCTGAAACCGGAAAACCTTCTCTACGCTGACCTCTCCTTGGACGCCCGGCTTAAGATAGGTAACTACATGCACCTGTAGACTAAGGCTACAGAACTGACACCTTCCCAGATAAACAGACAATTTCCTAGCTAAATATGTGTTGGCACTGATGGGAGTGCCACCGTTTGCAGTTTGGTAAAATATGAAAATGCCAAATGTTTTATTTATTAAATGATTCTCATATTTAGATGAGGAAATATATTTATTGGCATTCACTCATTACTGGCAGGAGTTCTCGCAGGAATATGGCCCTACAGGGGCTCGTCCGGGATCTGGACTTTAATATAATAATAAAAACACAGTGTATATGCCATTTAGCAGACACCTTTATCCAAAGTGACTTCTGGTAGTGCATGTATACATTTTTTGTATGGTTGGCCACAACAGGAATCGAACCCTAAATCCTGTCGTTGCAAGCGTCATGCTCTACCAACTGAGCCACACAGGACAGTACTGTGATATGGCATGTGTTACTTTGTTTTCTTTTGTAACTCCTGCCAATAATTCACAAGTAGTGGTCTTGTAAAGATCAACTATTCCTCTGTAGCATACAGTACATTAATGATACATAATAAAATAAGTTAAGGCCAATGAGACAAAACCATTATGTGATCTTCACAGCTGACTTTGGCCTCTCGAAGATAATAGATGAGCAAGTGACCATGAAGACAGTGTGTGGCACGCCTGGATACTGCGGTGAGTTATGGATTGACAGTTATCCTAATGAGAATACAAATGTAGGATCAGGCTCATCCTGTCGTGTTGTTGTGTACTGTGTCGTGTGCTACAGATGAGTCACACTACCACAGTGGTTATTGTTCGGTGCTTACCATTGAACCATATCAGATATCGACTGCCACTTCAAATTGAATGTATTTTTATTTTGTCACATGCGCCGAATACAACAGGTGAAATGCTTACTCACGAGCCCTTAACCAACAATGCAGAGTTTAAAAAAAAAAGAAAGGAAAAATAGTAACACAATAAAAGAACAAAAACGAGGCTATATACAAGTGGACCCGGTACCGAGTCAATGTGCAGGGGTAAAGGTAGTTGAGGTAATATGTACATGTATGTAGGGGTAAAGTGACTATGCATAGATAATAAACAGAGTAGCAACAGTGTATGTGAAGTGTGTGAAGGAATGTGAATGTGTGTGTGTGAGTATGTGTGTTGGAGTGTCAGTGTAGTATGTGTAAGTGTGTCGTTAGAGTCCAGTGAGTGTACATTGAGCCTGTGCAAGAGAGTCGGTGCAAAAAATAATAATAAATAAATTACAAATAAAATAAGGGGGTCAATAGCAGAGAGAACAGTCTATGACTTGGGTGGCTGGAGTCTTTGACAATTTTTAGGGCTTTCCTCTGACACCGCCTGATATAGAGGTCCTGGATGGCAGGAAGCTCGGCCCCAGTGATGTTCTGGGCCGTACGCACTACCCCTCTGTAGCACCTTGCAGTCGGATGCCGAGCAGTTGCCATACCAAGCGGTGATGCAACCAGTCAGGGTGCTCTCGATGGTGCAGCTGTATAACTTTTTGAGGATCTGAGGTCCCGTGCCAAATCTTTTCAGCCTCCTGAGGGGGAATAGGCATTGTCGGGCCCTCTCCACGACTGTGTTGGTGTGTTTGGACTCTCAACCCGCTCCACTACAGCCCAGTCGATGTGAATGGGGGCATGCTCGGCCCTCCTTTTACTGTAGTCCACAATCATCTCCTTGGTCTTACTCATGTTGAGGGAGAGGTTGTTGTCCTTGCACCACACTGTCAGGTCTCGGACCTCCTCCTTCATCATCGTTGGTGATCAGGCCTAGCACCGTTGTGTCGTCGGCAAACTTAATGATGGTGTTGGAGTTGTGCGTGGCCACGCAGTCGTGGGTGAACAGGGAGTACAGGAGGGGACTAAGCACGCACCGCTGAGGGGCCCTCGTGTTGAGGGTCAGCGTGGTGGATGTGTTGTTGCCTATCCTCAACACCTGGGGGCGGCCCGTCAGGAAGTCCAGCATCCAGTTGCAGAGGGAGGTGTTCAGTCCCAGGGTCCTTAGCTTAGTGATGAGCTTGGAGGGCACTATGGTGTTGAACGCAGAGCTGTAGTCAATGAATAGCATTCTCATGTATGTGTTCCTTTTGTCCAGGTGGGAAAGGGCAGCGTGGAGTGCAATAGAGATTCCATCATTTACATTTTAGTAATTTAGCAGACGCTCTTATCCAGAGCGACTTACAGTTAGTGAGTGCATACATTTTCATACTGTGGATATGTTGGGGCAGTATGTGAATTGGAGTGGGTCCAGGGTTTCTGGGATTATGGTGTTGATATGAGCCATGACTAGCCTTTCAAAGCATTTCATGGCTACAGATGTAAGTGCTACGGAGTGGTAGTCATTTAGGCAGGTTTAGGCATACCTTTGTGGCACAAGTCGATGGCACAGGGCTTCGGGCCAGAAGGTTGAGGGTTCACGCCACTCTCCCTGCCTGTTTCATTACAATATTATATACAGTGCCTTCAGAAAGTATTAACACCCCTTGACTTTTTCCACATTTTGTTGTGTTACAAAGTGGGATTAAAGTTGATTTAATTGTACATTTTTGTCAACGGTCTACACTAAATACTCTATCAAAGTGGAAGAAAATGTCTAACATTTGTAAAAATAAAAAAAAATACTAAAACACTAAGATACTCTATCTTGATTAATAACCCCCTGAGTCAATACATGTTAGAATCACCTTTGGCAGCGATTACAGCTGTAAGTCTTTCTGGGTAAGTTTCTAAAGCCTTGTTCAAACTGCAGGCCTTGATGCTCAAATCAGAAGTGTACCTATTGGTAGATGGGAGAAAGAAAATCCAGTTGTGCAAAGCTCTTAGAGACTTAACAAGAAAGACTCACAGCTGTAATCGCTGCCAAAGGTGCTGCTACACTCAGGGGTGTGAATACTTATGTTTTTAGACATTTTTGAAAATGAAATACAGAAATATCTAATTTGCATGTTTTCACTTTGTCATTATGGGGTATTGTGTGTAGATGGATGTGTGAGACTTGAAATTGAAAAACTAGAAAAAAATGTCTTGAATTCAGGCTGTAACACAACAAAATGTGGAAGTCAAGGGGTATGAATACTTCCTGAAGGCACTGTAGATATATTACATACATTGTGGGATTGCTATCAGTAAAATAAATCATCCTCAACCACAACAAAACAAATTGTTGGGCAGTACTATATAATTGTTTTATTTTATTGACAGATATAGTGCATGGTTTAATGGAGATTATAGAGTACAGTTTTAACGGAAATAACCTTTTTAATACATAGTGTTTTCGAGGGACTGATATGAGTCAAAATAAATCGTCCTGTGCCTGTGTGGGAGCTGACAGCTGGCCCTTCATCTCTCCATACCTCACTCTCTCCCTGCAGCTCCAGAGATCCTCAGAGGCAATGCCTATGGCCCTGAAGTGGACATGTGGTCTGTGGGAGTCATCCTGTACATCTTGTGAGTAAAAAAAAAACTTTAAAATCTGTCCAAAGATCTGCATGTACTCAGAGTGGGTAGCTGGCAATTTGATGACAAATTGAAGCCCTCTCATTACAGTATCGCAGCTAATCACGCCCTTTCCTCTTTCCCCGTGTCATATGGATTTCCTATTTAGTACGCCGTTGCAAGTCTATTAGAGGGGGGTCTTATCTGAAAAGATCCCATATCTGTCTTTAAAACAAGTAGTGAAAGTGGCAAAACAAATAAACAGAGGGAAATGTTGCCTTTCCCCTCAGGCTGTGTGGGTTCGAACCATTCTTCGATCCGAGGGGAGACCAGTATATGTATAGCCGCATCCTCAACTGCGACTATGAGTTTGTCTCCCCCTGGTGGGATGAGGTCTCCCTCAACGCTAAGGACTTGGTGAGTTCCACCATCTAAGCACTTCAAACTGAGGCTTTTATTATGGATAAAAATGTACTTGTGTATGAAGTTGTTCAAATAAATTGCTAATAAACTTTATTTCTTTCTTTGTTAATGTTTGAATTATGTAAATACTGTATATGTACAAGGTCTGTGTTATTTTTATTTGATTGCAGTTCCTTAATGCATGTTTTACACAACTGGTTTGACAAATACAATATATTGGTTTGTAAAATTAGAGGAGAATGCAATTTGTCTCGGAGTTCATCATGGCCAGAAGAAAACCCATATGGTAAAAAATGCATTACTGCTCAGCATATGTTGTGTTACAGCTATTCTCGGGTAGGCAACTAGATTCAGCCGAGGGACGATTTCTGTCAGAGAGGATGATCGGGAGCCGGAACATAATTCTAATAATTTGTACACTGCAAATTGACCACAACTAAGCCCAAAAATAGATTTTATTTTTAAATAACAATCACTTCATACCAAATAAAAGTCACGCGAGTCGCCGACCCCTGCACTATGTTCTGTTTAATTCTCCACAACTATTTTACTTAGATGAATAAAAACAAAGCATAAAACTCCCAATTAAAAATTATCTTCACTGTTTCTCTGTAAACCACTTGTTCAGGGCCAGATTCAAGCAAACCTGGTTATACTGTATATTAGCATGGTTATGCATATTCATGTAACCAATCGTGCACCCCGGTTTTGAATAATGTTTAATAACCTGTCCCATTGCCTGTCCCCCTCAGGTCAGTAAGCTGATAGTGCAGGACCCTCACAAGAGGCTGACAGTGAAGGAGGCCCTGGAGCACCCCTGGGTACTGGGCAAGGCTGCCCGCTTCTCCCACATGGACACCACTCAAAGGAAGCTACAGGAGTTCAACGCTCGGCGCAAACTCAAGGTGAGCAATGCGCTTAATATTGGATCCCAAATAGGGCAATGTAGAATCAAGTACGTTTTTTGTGAAAGCAAAAGCAGTGCTGGAATCATCGACAAACCTATGATCAAAAAATTAATATGTATAAATTAGCATAGGAGCGAATGTAGATCCCATCCCAGCTGTTCCGTTGATTTGAAGGGGAAAATATTTTTCAAAAGAAAATGAATTTACCCCGTCAGAGAAATGCACTTTAGACGACAATAGTCAACGACAAACATCGCAGTTTGAATGGTTGGATGTTGCTTTGGTCGTCTCTGGAAATGTAAACTTGTGGCACTACCACTGTCTTGATTGGGATCTATGCCTCAAGGAATATTCTTCTCTATTGCCAATATTACATTGCAATAAGATGATTCCTGTGGCAGGCTTGGTGACTGACAGTGGTGTGCCATGTTTCTCTGACTGCAGGCTATCATGAAGGCCGTGGTGGCCACCAGCCGCATGCACGAGGGCTCCCGGCGGCGCACGGACAGCTGCGATATGCCCGGCTCCGACAAGACCACCTCCAGGCAGAGCAGCATGCAGCAGGACCCTCCCCCAGATCAGGACCCCCAGGAGGGCCAGGCCAACCAGGGCACAGACACCACCCTGACCCAGGATGATGAGGACCAGTGCCCCCCGCCCCTGCCGCCACGCAACCCCAGACCCACCCCTCCTCTACTGGCTGGGGCTTCCTCCCCCACCTGTCTGCCCACCAGGCCCCCACTAAGGGGAGTTGATGGGCAGAGACAGATGTCGGTCATCCCCAAGACGGCCGTGGTACGGCCCAGGGTGCCCAAGAAGAGCTGCTCCTCGGTGGACTCTGCCTCCACCAAGCGGGAGACCTCCTCCCCGGTCCAGACCACTCCCCCAAGCCCCAAGAGCCTCGGCAATGGATTCGCCATCGGGGTGGAGTCTGGCAGCAAAACGGCCCAGTGTTAGTGAGTGGCAGGTACCAAAGAGAAAGAGGGTGGCGACACTCACCTAGGAGCTCCTACTGTAGTCCTAAAATGGCTGATGCCGTTGTTGCTGTAGTGAGAGATGATAGATGACAACATGGAGGAGGACGGATGGAGGAACGGATGTCTTTGTTCAGATCTCGCCTCATATCCGTTTTGAGCCGGGACAAAAGACTAGTACTATACATAACTTGATATTTATTTTTCCTTGCTGTACGCAACGAGTTTGGAGACTCATAATGAATTTGCAAATGAGCTTTTAACTTTGGTTTCAACTGTTGCCAACTTGCTGTAACTTCTCGACTTTAAGGCCTCTCTGAACGGTACTTACTGTTCTTCAAAGGCCACTTGAAAAGACAACTGGATTTCGTACTTTGTATACTCTACACCTTTCTACTATTCAATGTTGGAATCTACTGACTTATATATACACATAACCCTCTCCTTCTTGCATAGCATTCAGGTAGTAAATATATTGTATTTGTGAGCTTATGAATATAGTTATATGTATTTTGCAATAATTGTAATGGTGATCTAATGTTTGCACTGTATATTATTATATTAATCTATACAGATCACAAAAAAGCATTCACACTGCTAATTGTTTACTATCTAAGTCAAACTGCACTTTTATTCCTTTGGGAAAATATATGGCTATAGTGCTGAAGCTTGTTTGAGGCTGAAACCAATTTTCTCATTCAGTTGTTTACCCAAACAGTGGTTGTAAAACCTAATTCTGTGGTAGTTATCTGATGAAGGAACATACATCGTAATCATCTCATCAACCTCACTGGAGCTACCACTGTCTACCTCTTTTTGTACAGGGGCTTCCAACCCAGTAATAGCTAAATCTGTAAAGAAACGATTGGATGAGGTGAGTGAGGTACTGTATCAGGCGAAGCAGAGCCTTTCTGCAACATTAGAATGATATTGTCAGTGCCAGGTAAAAACCTGAAAGGTGAATCCTTTCTCGATGGAACTCAAATAACGGATCAAATGAAAGGGTCTAATTAAAATAGTCAATTTCAAGGGCCAACCTTCACCTGCTAACATGTATTCTCACTAATGCTTTCATTGCCAAATAGTAAGAAGCCTTGCATTATATTGATGACATGTTAACGTGTATAAAGCATTTATTTACACCTATGAAATGATGTATAAAGTATGGATATTTTACTTATAATTATTATTGCTTACAAATGCTTTATTTTGGGGTGGGGGGGGGGGGGGTGTAGTTAGCAATTGTGTTTGTTTTGTAGTTTCTCAGTTTCCCGTTTTTCATTTCTAAAAATAAATGTAGCCTACATTTTAATATTTTTTTTGAAGATGACATATTTAAGAAACATGAGATGATTTAACATCAGTCATAAGAGGGGGAGTGTATTGGAGGTGTACAGTTCTATACATTTTTGATGTTTGATCATATCACAATAATCTAAATTAATTGGATTTGATTCTTGTATTCTACAGAAATATTTATCACAGCATCTGTTAACGATGGTAGTTGCTGTGTGCTGATATAAAAGGAATAAAACGTTGATTTTGAAGTCCAATATTGGCTTGGGAGCGTTACATCAGTTGTATAACAAACTGCTAATATGAGTATCTGACACATTCGATTTGATTAAAGAAGCAATCTGCCATTGGTTCATCGATTTTTTGACTTTAACATGAACGATATACACAGCGTACAAAACATTAAGAACACCTTCCTAATAATGAGTTGCAGGATCAATTGATTGAAGTGGATCAATAAGGGATAATAGCTTTCACCTGGTCAGTCTGCCATGGAAAGAGCAGGTGTTCCTAATGTTTTGTACACTCTGTGTATACCTATTGATTCTTGAAGAATATAACTTAGAAATGCCTCATGAGCTTATTAGTTCAACAGTCGAACCCAATCAGAGCCCAAAATATGCTTGTTTTACTCCATTCTTTGTAAACAATGTAATAAAAAATTATACTATTTCCTCAAAATATGGTTAAAACTATCCTAACCATCCCTCAGCTGTTTAGCAAAACAGTGGCAGGGTGTCCGCTTTGTTTTTGTTTGAACTGGAGATAAAAGATAAACAATGAAAGAACAATCAATCGGTGGACAGAGAACGGAATTTTATTGATGTACGTCAGACGATTACAGTACAGAAAATACCATTAGAGTTAAAGTCACTGATTCACGTGGGAATGACGAGGAACATGGAGGGACAAATCCACCATGTTGGAAACTAAAGCAGAACAACTGTTGAAGTATAGTTTACTGTACAATATTGTGAATCTGAAGTTATTTTTTGCATCGTTGTAGTTGGATTATAATTTGACCGCTGTCTTCTCAACAACAAAAAATAGGAATTATAAAAGAAAGTAGGTTTGTTCTCTGAATAACTTGAGTACAAATTAACATTTAAAATAGTGTTTAAGATATTGAGGCAATGTTAGTGCACATAACATACACTGAGGCCTAGACCCCGTTAAACTTGATATGACACTGGCTGAAGCGCCTTGAAATCCATCACGTTACACATATGAAAGACAAACTGACTGACTGTCTATATAACACACTGAAAAACATGTCTGTGTCCTAAAATACTCTTAACTGGCTTCCTTATGCCTTTTCATTGTAATCACTAATAGGTGAAACGCCTTGAAAGCATCATATTACTTTCAATCAACTGTCAAGATTTTTCAGATCAGTGTTCACAAAGGAATGGAGATGAGGAAAGGAAGCATGTTAAGACAAATGAGACGTGACCCGGATCCCTCTGTAGTAGTATCCTTGTCAACTCGCATCCTGTTCTTAAAATGGCGGACAGGTATGTCATCATGGCACAGGTGACGATTCTTTGAGAGTATAATATATTGAGATGGCTTTCTTCTGATTCTTTCATTTACGTGGATCTGGGCATTAGAAAAGAACAGTCACTGCTTAGTCGAAAAAAGGAAGGGAACCATTTCAACCGGAACTAGTCAGTGTTGGACACACATACATGTACACACAATGTCTCGGCCTTCGTCCAAAGGGTGAATCCAACGCCACAGGCTATGGTGCTTCAAATAGGGAGGTCAAAGCAGTGGTATGAGACTGCAAAAACATCAATTTATTTGGCTCTAGAAACTGAGTGTAATGACCGGGCATTGCTATTGAGAGAGTGTTTCCAACATATGCTAAACCACATGGGCATTGCTATTGAGAGAGTGTTTCCAACATATGCTAAACCACATGGGCATTGCTATTGAGAGAGTGTTTCCAACATATGCTAAACCACATGGGCATTGCTATTGAGTCTTTCAACGTATTCTAACTGCAAGGCCATTGCTACTGAGTCTCTTTGGATAGACGTTTTGGAATGTTCAATTACTTGTTGTTCACCTCATCATGGTCAGTGCTTTATCATAAAAATGATCAGAAGTATGAAATACTATTGTGCGATTTAATTTGATCGTCATGAGGTTTTATATGAAATAGGAAGCCATGTCTGTACTATATTATACTGGCCCAATTCACAGGCCATGGTTAGGTGAGTGCTAGGCTTTGTAAAGTAGCTGTTGGGCTGAGTTAAATTGAGATTTGAGTCCAGTTAAAGCAGCAAAGTAGAGTCAAATTACTGCTGCCAAAAGAAGAGATGGGGGAGTTATTCATAAAACGTAGCCATCACATTAGTTAGGTTACCTCCGTTTTTTTCAAATAAACTCTTTGGCTGAGAGTTTCCTTAAGCGAGGATGGAGACCTAGTTTTGCCGGAACGCTCAATTTCCAACACGTATGAACACAGATTTTACCTCTGGGTTAACAGAGATTAACTTGACTTAGACCTTAAAAAAATGTGCTTAATTACGTCAACATTTACAAAGATGACATTCAAATTCTAAACGGTAAAAAAAATTTACAGAGCACTTCTTCCTTTTTTGTTTTAGAACTGTACAAGATTAAAAATGACCAATAATTAGTTACACATATTTATATGACAACATAGTTTATGTAATATTACTATTAAGAACAAACAAGATTTTGTTTTTAGATTCTGAATGCAGTATCCCCTTTTGGAAAGCGGTAAAGATATGTTAGGCTGAAGATGCCTGTAGTAATTTCCTTTTTTAAGCAGCGAATACAATTCTTAAAATTAAGACGGTAAACTATTGCCGGTAACTGCTGCGCAATCCTTGCAAGTCGGGGTCAAGACTGCTAGAGCGTTTAGATTTGTTAAAGTTCTCAGCATATCAGTTAGCCACATATCCTGCTGATAAGCTATACTCAGCAGTAGCTATATATAACCACTAGGTGGCGCTGTTGTATTGCATGGCCACTATGACGATGCTAAGGACCTACAGAGTTCCTATAGTACTCCGCTATCCTCTCACTTCAAAGACACCATTTTGCTGAAGAGAATTCGGAGCCCGGCCAACAGTGTAAATGACAACCCACTAGATTTATCAGTCTTTCTACATCTTGGTTCCACACACCACGAAGGACGACACGTGACAGTCAAGTCTCATCAAAGCTGAATTGAAGAAGTGACTGAGGGTGGCTGGTCCAGTGGAGTATCTTGAGAGAGAGGAAGATCTGTAGAGGACGAACTTTGTTTTGCGGCTATCACTCCCCCTGGAAAGGAAATACTGCATTGTCTCAGGTGTTTTTCAGCTAGTGTTCATAAGCTCTCCTGTGCATACTGTAGTAGACGACCTCCAGACCCCCCCCCCCCCCCCACCCCCCCAGACAGGGTGGTCTCTGTAGGGGCTTACGGCGGCCCCTCTTTGGGGGAGGAGGGGGGCTGGGACTGGGAGGTGCTGCCCCCGGAGCTTTTCAGGGAGCCCAGGGTCTTGCTGAACCAGGAGTTTTTGGCCGCTTGGATCTCGTTCATCAGGATGCCCCTCTGGTGCTCCAACTCCTGAGGATGGACAGAATAAAGGAATAAAATAGTCAGCATAATAATCATGAATAGTCATTATAGCAAGCATGAATATTAGTCATCACAGCAAGCATGAGTCAGCCACCATAATACATCATGAATAGTCATCTTCGTAATCATGAAGAGTCAAAAGGGATAGAAAATAGAGCACGCACATCCAATGCCTTCGAACAGGTATTGGATATCAAATCACCAATTGTCAGAAGGCGTGTATGTACAGTGAGGGAAAAAAGTATTTGATCCCCTGCTGATTTTGTACGTTTGCCCACTGACAAAGAAATGATCAGTCTATAATTTTAATGGTAGGTTTATTTGAACAGTGAGAGACAGAATAACAACAAAAAAATCCAGAAAAACACATGTCAAAAATGTTATAAATTGATTTGCATTTTATTTAGGGAAATAACTATTTGACCCCCCCTCAATCAGAAAGATTTCTGGCTCCCAGGTGTCTTTTATACAGGTAACGAGCTGAGATTAGGAGCACACTCTTAAAGGGAGTGCTCCTAATCTCAGCTTGTTACCTGTATAAAAGACACCTGTCCACAGAAGCAATCAATCAATCAATCAGATTCCAAACTCTCCACCATGGCCAAGACCAAAGAGCTCTCCAAGGATGTCAGGGACAAGATTGTAGACCTACACAAGGCTGGAATGGGCTACAAAACCATCGCCAAGCAGCTTGGTGAGAAGGTGACAACAGTTGGTGCGATTATTCGCAAATGGAAGAAACACAAAATAACTGTCAATCTCCCTCGGCCTGGGGCTCCATGCAAGATCTCACCTCGTGGAGTTGCAATGATCATGAGAACGGTGAGGAATCAGCCCAGAACTACACGGGAGGATATTGTCAATAATCTCAAGGCAGCTGGGACCATAGTCACCAAGAAAGCAATTGGTAACACACTATGCCGTGAAGGACTGAAATCCTGCAGCGCCCGCAAGGTCCCCCTGCTCAAGAAAGCACATATACAGGCCCGTCTGAAGTTTGCCAATGAACATCTGAATGATTCAGAGGAGAACTGGGTGAAAATGTTGTGGTCAGATGAGACCAAAATCGAGCTCTTTGGCATCAACTCAACTCGGCGTGTTTGGAAGAGGAGGAATGCTGCCTATGACCTCAAGAACACCATCCCCACCGTCAAACATGGAGGTGGAAACATTATGCTTTGGGGGGGGGGTTTCTTCTATGGGGACAGAACAACTTCACTGCATTAAAGGGACGATGGACGGGGCCATGTACCGTCAAATCTTGGGTGAGAACGTCCTTCCCTCAGCCAGGGCATTGAAAATGGGTCGTGGATGGGTATTCCAGCATGACAATGACCCAAAACACACGGCCAAGGCAACAAAGGAGTGGCTCAAGAAGAAGCACATTAAGGTCCTGGAGTCTCCAGCCTTAATCCCATAGAAAATCTGTGGAGGGAGTTGAAGGTTCGACTTGCCAAACGTCAGCCTCGAAACCTTAATGACTTGGAGAAGATCTGCAAAGAGGAGTGGGACAAAATCCCTCCTGAGATGTGTGCAAACCTGGTGGCCAACTACAAGAAGCGTCTGACCTCTGTGATTGCCAACAAGGGTTTTGCCACCAAGTACTAAGTCATGTTTTGCAGAGGGGTCAAATACTTATTTCCCTCATTAAAATGCAAATCAATTCATAACATTTTTGACATGCGTTTTTCTGGATATTTGTGTTGTTATTCTGTCTCTCACTGTTCAAATAAACCTACCATTAAAATTATAGACTGATCATGTCTTTGTCAGTGGGCAAACGTACAAAATCAGCAGGGGATCAAATACTTTTTTCCCTCACTGTATATTGCTTTATCGTACTACAGTCATTCCACCTCAAAAAGCACAAGAAAGAGGATTGAGACACCAGCATCTCAGATTGTTCTGAAATCGTTTCTGTAGTTAGAAACAGATAAGATTAGCATTCCTGAAACATTCCTTTGTTGAACTATAATATCTCTGAGAAATTAAGCTAACTGATCGCACCCAAATTGGCCTTTTAATTTATAGGATTCATATAATCTTCAATAAATATAGTATTTAACATCCGATTTGGACCATAATTCTTCCCAACAATGAGTAAGACGTAAGAAATCCAATAAAATGATGAATAGCCACCCACAGACCCTCACACTAATACCACCCAATAACCAGTATACAGTATCAGTTCTCTATGTCTGACAAGTATTATGGAGCAGCTGCTTGGGGTATTGCTTCTTCATCCTTTGTAATGTATTCCCTGTTAATTTGGTGATGTTTCTTTTCCCCTGTTCAGAGAAATTAGCCATTGAAGTCTCTTGCATTCTTTACCATAAATCTGTGTGAAGGTACCAAGTTCTGCCCACTAGATGCTGCTGTTCCTACTATTGCCACCACACCCTTCTATCCATTTTGCTGGTCTCTCGTGTTTATTAAATGGATCACTACATTTTGTTTGCGACCTTGGGCAGAAAACAAATAGCTTTTGCTCATGATGAAAATAAATTGTGTGGCCAATTGTGTTGTTAAGCCTGATACTGTATACTGGTTGTTGGGGTGGGATTGATGTGAGGGTCTGTGGGTGGCTATTGATCATTTTATTGGATTCCTTACGTCTTACTTATTGTTAGGAATAATTATGGTCCAAATCAGATGTTAGGTACTACATTTATTGAAGATTATATGAATCCTACAAATCAAAATATTTCAACAAAATAATGTTTCAGGAATGCTAATTTGATCAGTTTAACTACAGAAACGATTTCAGAACAATCTGAGATGGTGGGTGTCATGGCTTGCTGGAATGACATGGAATGACCCCTACATTGAGTGCGATATCGCAGCGCTGCCTGCATAGCATCTGACCTGTATCTTGCACTTGGCCTCCACCAGCTGTAGTTTGGTCTGGGCCAGCTCTAGCTCCAGTTCTCTGAGCTGGGTCTTCAGGGAGTCCTTCTCCTCATCCAGCTCACTGTCCCTGTTGTCTCTGCTGGGAGGGGGCATCTGGAGAGGCCCTTCTTTACTGAACACCTCCCTGCAGCGCTCACACGCCATCACCTTGCTCTGCAGGGAGAGAGGAGGAACATCAATGTACTAAAAGCAACACGTTGCATTGTCATCATAATGCCTACGGTGTTTGTCATCTCACAATCATTTATTTGTATTTTTAAAAAATTATACCAGGAATTCCATTGTTAAGGTCAGAAGACAACTTTTACGAGGGAGACGACCAAGGCGGCAGCTCAACAAAAACACAGATAAAAAAAGCACAGCATTCCAATAACACAAATAATGACATAGTTTTAATGTCACATGCACAAGTACAGTGAAATGCCTTTCTTGACAGCTTTAACCCCAACAATGCAGTAATCAATAACAATGTAATACTAAAAAATAACAAGGCACAACAAAAACACACAAGATATAAAAATACTGTACATCGTTGCTCTGTACTACCTTGATGATGTCCAGCTCCTCCTTGGTGGCAGTCTGCTGCTTCTCTAGCCGGGTGCTGAGCTGAGAACAGATCTGGGGGAACACAGGAGGACAACCTTTACTACAGGGGTATTCAACTCTTACCCTACAAGGTCAGGAGCCTGCTGGTTTTGTGTTCTACCTGATAGCTGTCCAGAGTTGACTTTGAGGGCTTTACTTGTTGTTTACAAAGCAATTACACATTAACTGGACAGGTTCGTTGACCTTTCAGATACACCATCATTGAGACACTGTAGGATTAGGATTCATTGTATTGTCCCCGAGGGGAAATGTGTCTTGGACATTCAAAAGTGCTGCTGCTTCCACATAGAATATCACAGGTTAAACAGACATCACCACACAACATACAAGCAACCGCCTGCCCACCCACACACAAAGTCGATTAGTTCATATGGCAAGGCTGTGACTTGGTGGTCAGTTCCACAAGATGAGTCAATGTGCTAAAGGTAACGACAAAATGTAAAACCATGAAATCATACGAGTAACTATAAACTAGTCTTATGGATTTATCTGGGTCTAAAAGTTAAGGTCAATGTGGTTAGAATGATGGCTATACGCGATGCTCCCCTCTCTTCTGTGACTCTGCATCCTACCTGTTTGTATTCAGCGATGATGGCCGTGGTCTTCTTGATCTCCGACTCAGCTTTCTCTAGCTCTCTCCTGAACACCTCTTTGATCTGGACAGACAGGGTAAGAAGGCAAAACACTTGCTACTTTACGGTCTGCAGACACTGGAGACTGATATTGGGAGACTGCAATACAACTATCTGGCGGTAGTTCACAATAAAGAATGTGACATAAACCAAGACAAACGAGAGTAACCTTTGTGTGATGTGCCTCATCTTTTATAGCGCAGGAAAATGATAGGACGGTATCATACTGATTTAATGTCTATATGAAAAAGCATGTCGATTTATATTGTTGAAAAAAAATAAAAACTGTAACATTGATCATCCTTATCACCACTATTAAGACATGGGAGAAAAAAAATAAGGCCTGCAGGTTTCACAGGAAGCCTCCACAGCTCTCCAGTAGTGGTCACCAAGCCCTGGTCCTGGGAAGCAACAGGGTTTTGTTACAACCCAGCACTAACACACCAGATACAGCCAATGGTTGTCCTGATGAGCAGCGCTGAAGCTGGAACAACAGTCTGTACACTTGGTGGCTTATCAAGGGTTGCAAAATTTCAGGAACTTTCAATAAATTCCCAGGTTTTCCAGAATTCCTGGTTGGAGGAGACCGGATTTTCTGCTCATTCCCTCCTGATTCCGGGAACTTCCAACTGGGATTAATTTATTGAAAGTCCCCGGAATTTTGCAACTCTAGGCTTATCAATTTAATTTAATTCAATTCTATATCTTCATTTAGCCTGGTTGTCAGATCTGTTTCTGCTATAGCCAAGTTATTTTCCATTGTCAACGCAAATATGACCATGATATTGTGATACTGCTGGCTTAAGCAGAGATAGATCTGGCAAACTGGTTAACTGTGTGAATGTGAGCTATGTTACCTGTGCAGTTTCCTCCGCCTGCCTCCTCTTCTCCTCCTCTGTCTCCACCAGGCGTTGTTTGGTGCAGAGCAGCTCCTTGTTCAGCACGTCTGCCTTGTCCTCCGCCTGGTCCAGGTCGGTCCGCAGGGCGATCTTACTGGTGACCAGCTCGTGGGCCAGGTCATCGTTCTCTTGCTCCAGACGCATGCTGGCCTCCTGTAGACGACGGTTCTCTCTCTGTGGGCAACACACACACACACACACAATAAGACTATGCACAGTATGTGGAGAAACACTTACACAACTTGTTCTTTCTGCAAATGTAGCGACAGTTCATTTGCTGCACACACACAGCAAGCAGGCACACCACATACAGTTAATGTTTCACCATCATTTGAACTTCCTGCCTCTGTTATTGTACAATAACAACCACATCCATGTTGTACTGTTTGACTAGGTTTATTGCTATTTCCCCTGATGCTTTAGTATTTGAATGAAGGTTTGTTCAAAGGTCCTTCAAATAGAACTGAGAAGGACCAACAACATCGATATACAATAATCAAGTAACCGTATTACCAGTTATTCTATGGAACAAACTGGCACACATTTAACGCCATTTCAAATATCGCAGGCACACACACACACACGCAGGCAGGCACAGAAAGTAATTGTTGTCCATAAACAAGATCTTATGACCAGGACCATCTTGTCTGATTGTCTGCCTGTAAGTGGTCTCACATGACAATGGTGGGGATGTTCCAGTTGTCATGGAGACCAAGCTGGGTCACCTGACCGAACCCCATCCTGCCCCCCCCCCCTAGCCCAATGTCTGGGCCACTGGCACACACACGCTCACACACACAATGCAGTGTGTGTGTGACCTGTGTCACGTGTTTCACACCATTCACGATTTGACGCATCTTTGTTAAACAAGAATGCTGCTCTGTTTGCGCACAGAAAACCTGACAACAGGCAGAAAGCAGACAGGAGACTGAGCTAAGCTGCATAAACTCAGACTTGGGAGTCTGCTTACCTTTTCTCTTACAGTGGTCTATCCAGAGTCACAACAATGATGATGCTGGGAACAAATACTACAGCAACACACTCACACTCACAGGTCAGTTCTCTCACTCTCTCACACTCACAGGTCAGTTATTTCATTCCACATGACACCCCTCCCACTGGTCTCCCTCTCCTCCTCTCACTTCCCTCCATTACACCCTTCCCTGTATTCGTTCTCTCTGTGTTTCACAGGGGCTGATGAGTTTAGTGGTGTGAGAAGGGGATGGAGGACACATAGGAAATGTTATGAGACCTCCACTAAGTTTTAACACCGAACTGAACAGTTGGGGCCTGTCCAAATACTTTTAAAATGCATTCCCTACTTATTCTTTCTTTGAGGTCATTTCTGATCTGACATGGTGGAATTTGTTGTTTTCAGGAAGGAAAGGATACATTTTAAAAAGGATCAGTGGCCTCATTTGATCTAAAATAGCAACAGACTTCAAACGGATCATAATTGATTTCATTAAATGTCTTTCTTTATAAGGAATGAGGATACTCAAACTCATGTAACTCAGGCTCTGTAGAAAGATGGCTTAGAATCTCATCCAACAACCTGCATGTTCTGTTACAAAATAAAATGTATTGTATTTGTGTCAGTTAAGAACTAATAAAAATTCTGTGCATTGCTTTAGGCATTACATATTTAAAATCAGAATGGCATGAATACAAACACAATGTGAGTCTTGCAGTAGGTACAACAAAATGAAATTGTAATGTATCGTAAAAAACTAAAATATAAAAGCGTTTAAGAAAAATTTATAGAACATTAAAAAAAAAAAAAAAAAACACTTAGGAACATGGTCCCAAACAACAATGAACTTGAAAACTAGCTTCTCTTTGAAACGTTTGTCAGTAATAATTGTAATGGCAGTGTAGCTTTCTGCATATGTGCCACACAAATCCCTTGCTGAAATGCCCTGCTGTCCTTTCGTATGGGTGAACATTGCAAAGTTGGTGAAAAAGCTGAATCAGGGGCTGAAGTAGAGGTGAAACGTAATCCAGCCTACATGACAGAGACCTGAAAACTACAGGCCAGGCCCATCTATTCAAGCATTCAAAATATAAGAACAGGTCTCTCTTTCAGATAGATTTTTATGTCAACTAGACAAACCTGTATAAATAAAGATTAAATAAATACAATTTAAAAATGGCCCTTGATACTGCCTTTGTGGCGTTAGCCCATACGAATAGTCCAGGGCAGCAGGCCATTGGGGGTAAGGTTTTTGCACAGCACATGAACAAAACATTAGCCTGGTCGAAAATACATCCAAGCCCGGTCGTAACAGCCACAGCCTAATTATAACTTTCATGTCAGTTTTTTTCTCATGAACAGTAATACTAAAATCAATCCCACATGGATAAAATTCTACAGGTTTTCCTGACAACAATGAGACGTCAGTTTCATTCACACGTCACAGTCACTTTACAACTAGATGAGGTTGTAGGCTATTTGGTTTCGTTATTCAGAATCATTCCTATGAATAGAGGAAAGCCCTGATACATATCTTTCCTTTTCCTTATCTTTGACCAGCACAAGTATATGGCCTCCACTCATAACAAAAGTCTCTATTTGTTTCATTCTTTCTTTCTTTCTCTCCACTGAGTCTGTGTACGCCCTGCGTAGTCTGCCATGATCAGCGCAGTGTTCTACACAGACCTGAGCCGAGACTGGAGGGAGAGAGGGAGGGAGGGGGAGAGAGAGGGTGGGACTGGGGTCTACAGGGAAGGATATCAGATGTTTCTTAGGTAGGATACCACAGACTTCCGAAGCATCATCTATACCTACAAACAACCCGTTTTCTGAGGTCCAATTTTTTAGGAGGTATACAGTAACACTCAACACTAGCTATGGGAAACACTGGGGTAATTGTAGTGGAAGTAAGGCCCCTAACCACTCATACAGGGTCAGATATCTGCCTAGCAGGTGACGTTAGAATGGGAGGTAAGAGTAATCTGATCCTGGAGCAGTAGTTAAGACATAACAGAGCACAGTCTGTTTCTTACCTGGTAGCGGTCGATGGGGTCCTCCTGCTGCAGCTGGCTCTCTCTCAGGGTCTGGTACTCCTTCTCAAACTTCTTCAGCTTCTTGGTGGGCACCTGGAGGGGTGACAGGAGAGGCGGAGTGGGAAATTGAGTGTTGGTAGATGGGGTTGTTTTGAATTGAAATGAATGGCGTTGAATTGAATCAACTTTATTGAAGTGTTTAAAGTGTAATGTTTTCGACCACAAGATGGTGACACTAACAAGACTAAAGAATAGGGTTTGAGCCTGGGTTCTGTTACAATAACTTAAAATGCATATTTTTCTCCCTTACCCGTGGTAGGCTAATCACTGATATGTAAGTGATGGCATATATAAAGGATATGTTTACATTACATTACTTCCTGCCATCCAATTCCTTCAAGGAACAAAGGAAGCAAGGGTATTTTAAAGGAATTCAAACTGGGTACGGTTCTGCGTCTCCGACTAGATACAATGCAGAGCTGCGTGAGCTGCTGATCCAGGGACAGAAAGAACACCAAACTAGATTTGCTTAATTTGTTCTTTTTTGTTTCAACATGGAAAATAACAGTGGGCCCAGTTGAAACATTTTTCTTTGAACTGAATCAATGCACTCCTATTCACTGCTTTTTTCTAGGGAACTTTATCAACTGTAAGGTGCTTTTAGCCTAGGCACAAAATGGCTGTGACAAGTTACCCTCTGAGGCATACCTAATGACCATACTACTCTGTGCAGCGTACATTTGCTTTGTGTACACCTGTTCATTTACATGTTAAACCACTTCAGCCTCTATTTACCAGCAGAAGCACAACCAACAAAGGAGATGAACAACAGAGTAACATACAAGTATCATAAACACATTTCTTCAAAAAGCAGAAAGTAATAACTGCCCTCACCCTAATTGCAACACCTAAACACTGTTTTTAAGGTAGGATACATTATACACCTGCACAGTGCACACAAGAGAACACTCCATAACACGGCAACACATTTGGTCTCTGCCAGCCAGGTCAGTTTCTAAGGAAATTGTTTCTCTCCGCTGTGTGCAGTGCAGGGACAAGGGTTGCTCAGCCCTTGGCGTTTCCATGGTAGCTGCTGCTAGGATGTGGATTACAGGTCTGGGGCGTAACGAGTCACAGAGGGGAGGGACTTTGTTAATGGATAGGGCCACCAGAGGCCATTACAGAAGGGGGGGCACAGCTCACCGGCTGAGACCGCCAAAGATAGGAGCTCACTGGATGAGAGGGAGAAAAGGAGAAAAGAAAGAGCGAGAGGGAGGGAGAAATGGGAGCTCACTGGCTGAGAAAGAGAGCAGAGAGACAGACGAGAGGAAGAGATAGGAGCTCACTGGCTGAGAAAGAGAGCAGAGAGACAGACGAGAGGAAGAGATAGGAGCTCACTGGCTGAGAAAGAGAGCAGAGAGACAGACGAGAGGAAGAGATAGGAGCTCACTGGCTGAGAAAGAGAGCAGAGAGACAGACGAGAGGAAGAGATAGGAGCTCACTGGCTGAGAAAGAGAGCAGAGAGACAGACGAGAGGAAGAGATAGGAGCTCACTGGCTGAGAAAGAGAGAAGACAAATAAGGATGAGCAAAAGAGAAAGGGCAAGTACAGTAGAGAGAGAGAGATGGGGGAGGAGGGCAAGAGAGAATTTGAGAGACAGAGAGAGTAGGGGTTGCATGAGTTTACCATAGTTACTCAGTGACTGGAGTTGTCAAGTGGTTCTCAAGTGCTCTCAGTTACACAATACGACATTACATCCTATTGCCTTATTGCCATCCTATTCTCTATTACAGACATTGTTTTCGTCCTGTGTTTGTTCTAAGCCTGATAAAATGTTAGGCCCAGTGTCTTAAGAGGACTCACACACCGGTTCTCATATAATATATTATGACCCATTACCTGACAGACAGGTAAGAAACAAGAAAGGAATCCACAGAAAGATCTAAGCAGGCAAACCTGTTCTATACTGTATTTGGTAGCTTAAAATGGGTACTGAATGTGTGTGGTTGATAAGACAGCACGTCAGCATTGTTAATGCTCCACTGGCTTTGGTTCTACCCAGTGAACAATAGGAACTTTATGAGAGGACTCTCCACCCCCCTCAGCCCTTCTGTTCCTGACGACTGAACACTAGAGAGTGTGTGTGTGTGTAAAGGGGTTCAGGTGTGATGTCCTGGAAAGATAAGACAGAGACCAGCACAGAGAGAAGAGAGAAAAGTAGAGAAAGGGGAGACATTATCTGAAAACAATATGAATAGGAAAGAGAAAGAGAGAGAGAGAGAAAGAGAGAGATAAATAAAGAGAGATGTAGAGCCAGCTACTGAT